CCCCCTCCTCTCAAAAAGGAAGAGAAACTTCCAGCTCGCCTTGAAAGACTAGCTCTTGCCGTAAATGCTTTGCATAAATCTACGCAAAGGCCGGGTCACCGAGGCTCCCCCTGCTCTGGGTTTTTTTTTTTTTGCCCCCCTCCTCTCAAAAAGGAAGAGAAACTTCCAGCTCGCCTTGAAAGACTAGCTCTTGCCGTAAATGCTTTGCATAAATCTACGCAAAGGCCGGGTCACCGAGGCTGGATGCTGGTGACAGAAACAGTGTTTCACTGCGGTGCTTCTTTCTGAACAGCTGGGTTCATTAATTAATTCATTCATTTATTTATTCACTGCAAACTAGCCGCTAGCGTTAGGTATTAACTTGTCACGCACGTTGCTTTTTTTTGTTTCTCCGTACAGGTGACTGCAGCCCATGGATTGTGTCATTTGCTTGGCTACCAGCACAACACAAAATCAGAGTGGCGACAGGTAGAAAGCTGTCCTTGCACGGGGAAAACTTGCGGCATCAGACAGGGCTTCTGATGCAAGCCATTTCAGATAACGCGTCGTACCCAAAGCGAAAGAATTTCCCTTCCTGGCGTCTCGTATGATAGGGTAGCCTTCCAGTCCTGGCAGTCGCGTGGAAGGCTCTGCAGAGGTTTTATTCCTGTTAATTGAATTTAATTCATATCGATTGTCAAGCAAACATCAAGTCCCTACAAGCAAAATTGCTGAACCCTAATTCTGTTGCTTATGTCAATGGCACTTGAGATTTCGGGGTTTTGGCTATATGAATTTTTACAGAGTTCAACCGCTGGGCTGCACACGGCTTTTTAGGTCTCTCTGGAGGTATGATCGTGCCTGCACGGCGCAGGAACTGGTGAGAGAGCCATGCAAGCCCGTCAACATAAAACATTTCAAGAAAGAAATGGCTTGTGGCAGGTGCACGACACGGGTGGCGTTTCAAACACGCCTTTCTGTGCCATAACGTGTGCGCCTCCTTCAGCAAATCTCAAAAAAAAGAGAAGCTTTTTAAAAATGTGTTGTGATTGTGGAACTGAGATGCGTTTCACTGGCTAGTTAAGATCACCCAGAAAATTACTGGCCGCTCCGCTGTTTCTCACAGTGCCTTGCGGCTTATTTCGGGGGCAGCATCCCCGGGGGGTTGGGGAGGATATTGGCGATGCGGGCGCAGGTCTGCACGGCTAACAGCGTTTCCGCCCCCACCGCTGCCTGGCAGGAGGATGCCGGCGGGAGGATGGTGCTCGCCCACCGTTCAGGGAGTTTTCCCTCTCTCCCCGCTCCTTTTTTCCGCAGATGTACCAGAAGGAGAAGGAAATCCTGGAGGAACTGAGCAGACTCAGC